TTATTAAAGAAATCACATTTATAACTATAAAGTTTGACTATTCTAGAAGTCACCAGGAAATTCTTTGAGGATGAAGTTGATTTCTCCAATAAAAGACTTTATTTGCGAAAATATAGAATTGCAGAAAATTCACAATCAATATGGTTATGGATTCTGCTATAATTTGCCATGTTTTTGGTTTCTCAATTAAAAAACGATAAAGTATATATGGCATAATAAAATAACGTGGTTCTATTAGTAACTGAGGAATGAGTACTGCAGAAATCATAAGAATGTAATTGATCTGTGTTATAAATCTTAAATGTTTGATTCCATGAAACATTGTGTACAAGGTGAATGAGTATAAGGGTACTAATAAATATTTGAACAACCTGTACCTTCCCATAAACTTATTCCAAAAGTAAAACACATAATGCCTATTGTCAGCTAATACATATGGATGAACAAGAGTATTAAAATGAACTATTACAGTTAAAAGTACTAAAATGCAGCCTGTAAAAATCCAATGTTTACTTATAAATTTAAAATAATCCTTCCAATTAACAATCATGTATGGCCATGAGAAACAAAACAGAAAAGCAGAAAAATATAATAGTTGAGGGATATGAATAGTGGGAACATGGGCTGTTTTATCTCCAACTACAATTCCTTTGTTCCAAATAATAAAGGCAACAAATGTTAAACATACTACACCATATGGAAACAATTGAATACATAATTGAAGGATAAATTTTATAAGCGATGTCCATCCATGGCATATTTCTTCTACAATCTTCTTCCATAACAGCTAAAAGGTGCACAATACTGTAAATGTGATATAAACTAAATAATTCAATTTTCTTTATGATAATAATTTACTCACTCTTAAATAAATAATAGAACTATATTGTTCACGTGACATTGATTTCTTTATTTTAAGATCTAGCAAATCAAATATACGTTCCACAGTAACAAATGCAACCCAAATAATGTTTGTTTGGCGAATTATCACAGACAAAAGACCTGTACAACATTAATTATAATTTCATCTGTATAACAAATTAAATTACATTGCTTTTTATACATACCTACAAAAGCTGCGATTGTAAATTTTTTATGTAAATGTAATAATAACATTAGTAATATTGCATTAACAGATATAACATCTGTATAATATAAGAAATGCCAGAAAAATAATGGTGGAAAGAACATAATGTTATAAGCCATAACAAGTTTCTTCCAACCATTCCACCTTTGCATCCAATGAGTTATTGAAATTTGTTTAAGTATAATAAGAGAAAGATAAAAATTAAGAAATGTTCCAAGCAAATTTATGCATCTCAAATAAAAAATATTACAGAGTTTTAGGGGTGACAATATCACAGTTGCAATTAGATATAACCCAGGTAAAGTAGTAATTTTTGGATCCCACTGAAAATAATATATCCCTCAAATAATTCTTTGCACTGTACGCGAGCATATTTTAAATCTCTTTTAGTTCAGAAAGAAATTTATTTTTTAAATCGAAGGAACCTTATAATATTTTACAGAAAATAAAAATTAATTAGAAATAAAAACGTACCTGTGTGAAATTACCTGCACAATACTGCAATGTCTGGGGTACATGGAAAACTTCATCAACGTAATAATGGGGTTGTATGCGGTTCAAATAAATAAATAATGTTATGACACTTAAACAAACTAATGGTATCGAAATCTTTTGTGTGCATTGAACAACTTTAACCAAGGATTGATTCGCCATTTCATCGATGAAAAGCGAAAATTAAATGAAACCAGAACTTACAAATGACGTTGCACAAAAAATTAAAATAATTTTTTACACAGTGGACACTGATAAGTCATTTAAATTAATATACACTTAATCGAAGACATTTATTTATTACGCCAATCATTTTAATCATACATATTAATACATGGCAGTATTATTGAACTTTTTAACAGCCACACTTTAAAGATTAATTTTTTTTTTAAACCATTCCGAATTATAACACGTGTCACGTTAAACAGAACACTTCGGAGTTTATATCAGTGGTGATACTGAAACATGTTTACTCTGAAGTTAGCACCATATGAAAAATTTTGAATTAACGATTCGACGTATCGATCCATGAAAAACTCGACTTCAAAAAAGGCGCGAAATAAATAACGTGGAAAATTGTAGGTATACTTTTGATAAAAATTTAAAAAATTGGGATATTAATTTCTGCGGCACGTAAATTGTTTAAATAAATAAATTTCGTTCTAATATTGAAGTAAATAAGTTTATTTCAACTTAATCTCAGATTCAAGGTGAAACAATCTGAGAAATCTTGTTCTTCGTTCGTCCGTAGAAACGTTGGCAGAATACAAATATTAATACTTTACAAATAAGTAGATTGCAAATACTAGGCGAACTCGATCTAACATGATACGCTTCTTATTTAAATATTGTGCTTACTTTCTATCCTGTTCAACCAAAATCTTAAGAAAGTCGAGTATATATTTATATATTCTCCAGGGATATGTTGTACAGGAATTAAAGAACAATTTATCGGTATATCAATCCTTACAAATACTTGTAATTCCATCACAAAATTTTAAATTAAAATAATATATCTAATGGTAATTACAGAAAAATTTCTGAAATTATATTAAAGATTCCAATAAAATTAAAATCAAATATGATTCATTGTAATATCAAATGTTTATATCGAACGGATCAGTAAAAATCGATTATTGAGTCAAATTACATCCATTCTTCTTTTTTCAGATTTAATTTCCTTCAGTTCTCGATTGTTCATTTAATGTACGCAGTCAATCATATATTTTGTGTACAATTCCTCCTCGATGTATCATTTAGATGGAGCTTATAAATGCTATGATGTATCAGTATAACGCATATCAATGTTCAGTTTGATTTCTATTCTATTCGATGATTTCCTTGGCCCTTCAGGGAAATCGATCCACACCGTACATATCGAACTTTATGGCATTTTTGTTTACCTGAGAATAATTACAGGATAATTGTCAATGCACTAAATGTAAAATAATCGAAGTTCTGTTCTCGAAGTACAATGCACGAGTGTGTATATGTATGTATGTGTCTGTGTATAAGCAACTTTTTGCGACTGTCGCACGTGTAAAACATGATCCTTTTATACATATAGACATGATACATAAAAAAGACATAGGCAAACTGTATATATCACGTGTGTGTATGCATACACAAATTCATATATTTATGTATGCACTGTACAAAGCTGAGCATTTCCTTGTTGGGGATCCTAGTGTCGTCTAACTTCTTAATTGAAGGGTACTTAATAATCTCTTTCGCGTTCTCTTTTCATTTTTTTTTTCCTTAATCAGTCTAAAGTAAATGAAGCATAATGCAGATCTCTCAAAAACAATGCAACTTTTGAGCTTATGTACAAGTACTGGTTACTTATTGTTAACAAATTACAGTAAACTCTAAACTATCAATTATTGTTTATATATTTTCTTATAAATGTAAAAATTTGTATAACTTTCAATCAAAAACAAGAAAATATCTATTTAAATTAAAGCCACAATTAATGAGAAAAAAGTTTGACATTTGAATAAAAACTTTTGATATTAAATTTTTAGAAATGTAAAGAAACAATCTAAGTACACAATTTTCTTTTATATCTGGAATGGATAATGAATAAAAAATTATGCTTAAATAGAACAGAATGACTACCTTGCAATGATATTGAAATGAGGGTGTTTTGATTACTTTTAAAAATTTTAATGTATAAAAAAGAAACTAAAT